AAAAACTACTTAAAAAAAATATGATTGTTATATTATATGACAGATGTTTCAAAAAGCAAAAAAAGACTGTGGAAATGTTTTTTTTAACTTTTATTCTTGTAGGTAATTTGTAAACGACCTTTTAAGGTCGAGTAATTACTATTTTAAGACCAAGTTTCCCTAGCCGTAGGCAAAACTTCGCAATTACGTGTTATCACCGAACCTTCCCGGAATAGGGAAGGGTCTAGGTAATAATTAACTCCCACCCTCATTCATAACAATTACCTATCTAACCGAGTGCCAAATAGCGATCAAAATAATGCGAAAAATGACAATGCCGTACGCGTCAAAGCTATACGCACCCCGCGTGTGCAAAATCCACAATAATGACAAACTTTTCACACGGTCGATTAGATGCAATACATTTTATGTGTAAAATTGGGCAGATGTGGCATGTTTTATTTAGAACCGTGCGCCCGCCGCGGCTATATGTCACTCTATGTGCTAAATGGACTTTTGTGATTCACGTGAAAGTTTCATTTTCGGTATCGATTCAGTATGCATTTACGATTAGTCACTGTGTTAAAGTGCTTAAACACGCGAACATAAGGTATACCTATAAGTTGGTATTATTCACCCCCAGGAAGTTTAAAATAGATTTTGGCCTTTATCGCAAATTTAGCATGCGATTTCAAGATTGCAAAATGACTAAGTACTCAAAAATGTGCAGCAGACCTGACGAAAGGGCAGCATTGTTTTAGAAAAAATAACAATTGCTTTTAGTAAGTCTATATCCGGAGATCGATTTGAGGGGGTAGGTATCTCTTTAGAAAAAAATATTTCCAGAAGCACAGCAAAAACATTTGTGTAGGTACCTTCTTGTTTGCAAAATAAAATATGGAATAAAATAAAATAAAATAAAAGGTTTACAGTTCCGGCACGAGTGTATAAGTATAAGCTTTGCTTAAATGGCCGTAAATATGATGAAAATGACGAGGAAAAAAATATGAGGAAAATTGTATACAGGGTTTTTGAAATTTACGTTGACTTTTTTGTCACGTATATATATATATATTATGGTATACCAATAACTTTCTTATTCCTTAAATAAATACTCACAGAGATATTACAAAAAAAGTGTAAAAACCGCTTATTTTTTTATTTGTAATATCAGTAGTGTGCGTTGGATTGTCTTTTATTTCGTATTTATGAAGTAATGTCAATGTCATCGTCTCTGATAATTGTGTTACAATGGGTGATAATAATTACACTAATCAAGATATTTTAAACATGTTTTATACATATGAAGAGTGCGGAAAAGTTTTAGAAAGAACAATAGGAACTTTCAATGTGTAATATCAGTATTGTGCGTTGGATTGATTTTATTTCGTATTAAACAACGTTAAAATAATTATCAATGTAAAGTTCAAACATTATATTGAAAAAATAAACAAATTTAAAAAATAAAACAAATCTAAAGTAATTGTTCAATTTATTGTAGTGTTGATCACGTCACATTGATACGTCGCAACCCATTGTAATACAATAAAATATAAAAAAATCCAAAGCATGCGGTTTTTTCAAATTTTTTGTAATATCTCTGTAAATATTTATTTTAGGTATAGGGATTGCTGCAGCATTTCAATAGAAACATTATTTTGTGTCGAATGATGTGAATGGTATGTTTTGTTTGAAATAAGAAAGTTATTGGTATTTAAAGTTACAAAAAAGACACCCTTTACAAAATTTTCAAATACTATTAATGGCGATAGAGTGCTCCTTAGTTAACAGGTACACTCAAAATTAACTTTTTAACATCATAATTAGTGATAATACAGACGTATTAGTAAGACCATCAATGGATGGATGCATCTGTCACAATTTTTGAAAAAAAATTAATTATCTCAAATACCTACTGTTAAAAATAAAAAAAATAATCAAATTTTAGAATTTCTAGAATTTTTCAAAAAATTTAAAAATGCAATAATATTTACACTATAGTTCCATTTGAAAAACCAAACCGGTTTAACCGGAAGTGATAACGCATTAACAATATTTTTTTAAAATGGTTTACATTGATTTTACATTGCTATACAAATTTCAAATCGATATCTTTCTCCATAAACTTCTAATGAAAAAGTAATGTGCATCGCCCTGTATATACGAGTATACAATAGATGCACACCACAAAAATATAAAAGTTATGCCAAATATTGAGTAGGTTTGGAAATTTTTTGGTGATTGGAAGAAGCGCTTGTGTAAGTTTTGTATCTAATATAAAATTAATGTAGACTAATATATTATTATTACATCGTATATATATGTATATATATATATATATACATATATATACGATGTATAATACACCGTGTCCAAAGTTATCTGCATGGTTGAAAACCATCAGGAAATTCAACCGTTGGTTGTTGAAATAACCAAATAATTACTTTATTTTAACGACATTTAGAAAGTTCAAGTGGTTATTCATAATTTACTTTTAAGTTTAAGGTAGTTAGTTATGCGATAAGTTACCAAAAGAATGGGGATTGAAGAAGATTTACTATATTATTAAAAATGATTTTTTTGTTCGTGTAAAACTGGATTCGGGTCCGGAAGACTGACTGCTTGTTTACACTATAGTGTAAACCATTTATATATAAATGGGTTAGCTGTTTATTATAAAAGATAGGAAAAAACTGTTTTCAAAAATATATCTATTAACATTGTCTACATAATATGTTGATAATGTTAACTTGACATTTGGCAGTAGGCGCTGTCTAAATATACGAAATAACTAAATAAATAATATATATTAAATTTTTTTTTTCAAGCATACAATTTTCATTTTATAACTTTCATAAACTTATATGAAAAGACTTTATTTTTGTAAGCAGTCAAATTATTATACACCGCCGTATAATAATAAAAATGCATTGGAAATTACATTGAAAAAGCGGTTCCATCTATCGCATTTGGATTAAAATGTGCAGTGCAGATAACTAAAAATTGCAGGTCACTGTAGAATAAATTCATACACATAACTTATAATATTACATATGTCAAACGTCAAACCTATGACAAAATATAGCAAACTTGAGAATTTTAATGTAAGTGAGTACAGAATTATTAAACGCTTAAAAAAAATACAATACAACACGGCGGAGAAAGCATATTAAGATCCTCGCTCAAACCTGCTGCCTCTACTGCGTCTCGGCTTTAATAAGCGCTTTCGCCGCCTATTAGATAATGTAGTATTTTTTAATACATTTCAAATTCAAATGTGTCAGCAACTTTTAGAAAGCCATAAATAAAGCCTTGGTGACCTCTGGTATATTGTGTCCAAGATTGAAGAAAGCTGAATAATCTTAAAAATGGTGAATAATCTTAAAAATTCATAAATTAAGGGAAAAAATCAAAACAAGTATTTTAAAAATTATCTTAAATATGCGATCTATGAATTATTTGACTTTTGAACTGCTTAAAAATTTACTTAAAAAGTAAAAAACCTTGGTAGGTACACGGCTATGGTGAATAATCTTAAAAATTCATAAATTAAGGGAAAAAATCAAAACAAGTATTTAAAAAATTATCTTAAATATGCGATCTATAGATATATATGAATTGTTTGACTTTTGAACTGCTTAAAAAAATAAAGTCTTTCTAGTTATATGGGCTTATGTGTGTTATAATATGAAAATTGTTATACGCTTGAAACAAAAATTATCTTTCCTTATAAGTCATATGGACGTAGGTACTACCAGAGACAAGGGTACTACTAGGTATACCTATAGGTACCTATAGGTACTTTAAATTTTCATTTAAGTTTTGGGTCAATATATTCTACATCTTTAATAAATAAAACAAAGATTTTTTTATCACAACAATCCTATAAAATGCAGGACATTTATCCCCCTGCAGACGCCTTAGGCTGGAGACCAATTTTAATATTCACAGGAACATAAAATCAACATTTTTTTACATTTAAGTAAAGTTTTAATTTTAAAGAATAATATAAAATTGACAACCATATGGTAGATATTTAGTTTGACACACAGAATATACATATATAAGGTTTGACAAGTAAATAACCTACTCCTAACTTTTTTTTCACCGCGGACCTTTCCTATAGGATAAAGTTCATTGCCAAGCTACTTGATAATCTTTGACATTAATAGAATATATTATTATGTCAATTAATAATAATTATAGGGATGCGCCTCATTCACCTTTCGTTTAAAAAAATCTCATAATACGCTGTTTGTTGTTCAATACGAGATACAAGATAATATCTACATTTTATATTTTAATTAATTTTTGCAAATACTGTTTAAGTGCCACCTCTAGCAAATGCCGTACGAGCGCTGTTATTTTAACTATACTTTAAAATCTGGCAACAATGTCCGAGAACAGCAACACTTACAGCTGATTTAATTTTAGTAGTTAGTTAGTTAAAATTGGTCGAGGCCCCTTTCGTCATCCGGCCCTGGGTACACCCACCCTAAAACAACAAAATGTATTCTAATGTCAAAATTAAGCGTTATTCGTATGTCTGTATCCCAGTGGCGTATTTAGGATTTAGCTCCGGGGGGGGGTCCAAAAAAACAAACTAAATATGTATACATATTTAGTTATTTTTTTTGGACCCCCCCCCCGGAGCTAAATCCTAAATACTATACTATGCTTTAATAACTAAAAAATCACAAATTAGGAACTCTTCTGATCCGATAAAATAGTAAATAAAAGGAACTTTTTTTGTAATAAAAATAATAAAATATGTGCGCCCGGGGGGGGTCCGGACCCGGCGGACCCCCCCCTAAATACGCCACTGCTGTATCCTTTTTCGCTGATTCATAAGTTATGAATCAAAACATAATACGCATTATCAGAGAGAAAATAGTAAAAAGAAACGGGACCATTCATGGGTTTTCCTCAATCGACCCTACAGCGTACAGCCCGCGCGTGCGCATAGGTGACGGGCAAAGCAGGTGGCAATTTCGAATCGAAAGAGCGAATTCATTTTAGTGGCGCTGACAACGGAGAGTGGTGTGCAGAGATAAACGTGGTGGTGTGGTTCGTCCGCTTTGTGTTTCTGACGTTTAACTGTTTCGCTTGCGACATAAAAACTTTATAATAAACATAGAAAAGGATTTAGTTATAATAATAGGTTTCGTAATGACTACGGAAAAAGTGCATGTGCCTGTTTCAAAGATTATCCTCGACATTGTTTTGATTCAGTGCGGTAAGTGTGAGGTTATGTCATATAGGTCAATTTGTTGTTGTTTTCTTATTGGGGGTGAAATGAATGTTGTTATTTTTGGTATTATAGGTAAAATAAGGGTTGTTATGTAAACGAACAATTTAATTATATTTTAAATGAACTTTATATATATACCATAGGTATTTAGCGCATTAAGTATAGAAATAGTTTAAAAAACTAGCTTAATACCTGACAAGATAACCTTGAACTTTTCTATTAAGTATTGTTCGGTGCACAACTATTAAATTATTTTTAATTTAAGTAATTCATATCTTTATTTAAACCTTGGAAACAAAAAGGTGGAAATATAATTACTTAATTATTGATTAATTACTCTTATCTTCAAGTGGGCTTTAATTTAAATTTTATTAATATCGCCTAGATTGTAAAAATAATCCTTTTGTACTAATAATTATTATATTTAAAAAAATTCGATAACTGTCAGATCTACCTAACCTCACGTTCTACTTTTACTAATTATTTTTATAATTGTAAGTTTTTAGTATTGTTTAACCATTAAAATTGTGCCTTGACAATAATAGTATATTATGTATCAAGTTTGCTAAACGCCATTTTATATAGGATTCTTAGTGTGGTATTTGAAGGTACGCCAATTTTAAGGTACTTAAAAGTAGGTACCTTTAGTAGAAAAAGGGTTAAAATGATTTAAATCAAAAATTTGTATAGAGCGCCATCTATGAAACAACAGGGGAAACTGGCAAATGTCACATTTTTACATTTTATAAACGCAATTATAAAGGTTATAAATCGAAATGTATCTTGAAAATTGACAGTTTTTCACAGTGAAAGTAAAGGAAATGTTTTATGAGGACTTAACAGTAGAGTCCGTGCCCGAATTTAAGTTATTAAGTTAAGCCCGCGAAATTAAAAGGTCAGTACAATGTTCATATAAACTTTTCAAATATTGGCGTTGAGAAACTATTTAATATTTTAGTATTTTTGTATTGAGAAAATAAATTAATTTTCACATTTAGTATTATTTTACAAGAAAGGCATTTTATTTTAACGATTGTATGACATTTGACAACTGTCAACTAATTTAAAACTAACTTCAGCCCGTGGCTAAAAACCTGTTGCTAACTTCAGCCCGTGAATAAAGCGCCGTAAAGCCACAACTTGTCAATGTGTATTTAAAAGGTCACTTAGTGTCATGGAAATATATGTTTGATAAAGGGCGTTTTAAAGGTGGGGAGTAGAAAAAATGTTTTAAGTTAGTTGACAGTTGTCAAATGTCATACAATCGTTAAAATAAAGTGCCTTTCTTGTAATATTAAGTATACTAAATGTGAAAATTATTTTATTATCTCAATACAAAAATACGAAAGTATTCAGTAGTTTCTCAACGCCAATATTTGAAAAGTTTATATGAACATTGTACTGACCTTTTAATTTCGCCGGCAGTAAACTATAACTTAAATTCGGGGTTGGCTTTATTATAAATTGGGGAAAAGTGATATTAAATCCGTTGACGTTTGACAGATGTCAAATACTTAACAAATAAAAATGGCTTTAAAGTCTTTTTTCTACGCTTATTACAGAATTTGACAGTTCTTATATGACTTTTTAATCTGGAATTACGTATATTCCATAAAGTGTTACAGAATAATTATTCCGCACAGATTCTAATGATGGAATGAGCACTGGGGGCGACATCTCTATGTTTATTTTATAACTCACTTGTATTCCTACCAAATCTAGTTTTTTCAGAAAGGCCCGGTAGAAAATATTAATCGGTAGTATACAATAGGATTTAAAACAGTTTGCGTTAACAAAAATACCCAAAATATATCTTCTTTACAAGCTAGTTGTAATTCTGTTTGGCCGATTTAGTAGGATTCTATTAGAATATTTAGGTTTGACTTAGTCCCAAAGAGATGGCAGCACTGGTTAATTGTTTACGTCTGTCATTAGTTAATTTAAAATTTGAAATTCAAATAATAACTTATTTGCCACTCCTTACAATTTGTCCATTTCTTCTTTATACTTCCTAATTTAGGTTCTGCAAAATTATGTAAGTAATTTTTATAAGCTTATTTAAAAATTATCTTATTTACTACCATCATAAAATCTAACATCTGTCAAAAGATAACCTAACTTTTTTCGAATTAAATTATTTCTGTGGTATTTTTTATAAGCGTAGAAAAAGTATAGTCTGAAACACGTTTGGAATTGCATATTCCGCTCTCGTGAAACCGTCACACTCGCCTTCGGCTCGTGTGACAAACTTTTCACTCGAGCGGAATATGCTGTATTCCAAACTTGTTACAGAATATACTATTTTGTGTACGTCAAAGATAAAGTATAGTATGTAACTCGTTTTATAAACTTCTCTAGACACTCGTTTTTATTAAACACTCGCTTACAAGCTTCGCTCTAAAATGACATCTATAAAACTTGATACATAATATACTATTATCTACTCCAACATTGACGAGGGCGTTTTAGACACGGGATGAAGTTAGTTTTATTATAAATTGCGGAAAAGTGAGGTTAAATCCGTTGACAGATGTCAAATGTTAAACAAATAATATTGGCTTTAAATTCTTCTTTGTCTTCCTCGTAGATAAAGTATAGTTTTTATTAAACACTCGCTCGTGCCTAATAAAACCTCCCTTAAACATTGAACTCGCAAAAAACTCACTTCTTAGCCTTATGACATATATAAATATCTATTTTAGTTACTTACCTACTACTCCGCCGTCCCAAAAAGGAAATGCAATTTAACCTAATTTGATAAAAATACGGTAATTTAGATAACAAATTATAAAATTTAATAATTATGTTCAATCTAGGGTATTAATGCTTAACGGTAATTATCTAGGCATTATGAGTCAAGTTTATAAACGTTCAAATCTTACTTTTATTGTAATTTATGCCGATTTATGACGTAATTCACTAGATAATGCAATATTTTCACTGCATAATCTTGACCTAAAAATTGGAAAATGTGGATACTGGAACAATTTAGGAAAAAATAATGGTAGAGGTCAATGTTTGACGGCGCAAAAAGTTTACTAATAAAGAATTAAAAATTTTAACTTCATGCGATTCTATTATTATAATCAGTTTTATATTTAGTTTAAAAATATTTTTTTTTTAAGATATCGACTATTTTACAAAATTTATTATTTTTTAAAGTTATTTAAATTTTATTGCAAAATTATCTTTTAATGCCTAAAAAGTCGTTTTTGCGTAAAATATTAATTCTATAAGATGATATAAGGAATACTTATTAAGTATAATACTATACTATAATATTATAATGTTTAAAATTTTTTGTGTTGGAATTAATTAAAGCTTTATTATCTTTATCTTTATTATTATTGTTAATAGAGCAAAATATATTATATGCTAATTTAAGGTTGGTCTTTTCTTTACCCTGGCAATGAAAGATAAAAATGCGATACAAAAATAATACATTATTTAACACCTTAAAATAAAATGTAAGTTTATAAATAACCACATTAAATTTGTCAACTTTATAAATATCCATTAGGTACATACATGAATACATAAATTTTAAAAACTCGTTATGTAGCTAATGCCTAATTTTTAAAATAAACCATGGGTCATTTAACACCTTTGTAAACTGGTCCTTGTTTCAAAGAATTCAGTTACAACTGATTTTAAAGGGCGTTCTTTCAACCGGAATAAAACATTTTTTTTTTCAGTTGGATGGCCGATTTTATTTTTGTTTCTCTACGGAACCGCCTTTCACCGAGGGTTCTTCTGCGATGACGAAGACTTAAAACATCCATTCCACGAATCCACTATTCCAAGCTGGTCTTTGTATATTAGTGGATTGGGACTGAATGTTTTAGTGGTAAGTATTTTATAATATATAATATATATACAATATATAATACAATATAATATATAATACAATATAATATATTTTATAAAATATATTATATTTGTTGTGTGGACATTTAGATTGTTAATTTTGAAAGTTTTTTTTCCCTATAAATGTCTTATCTAGTATTTGAGCCGTATGAAAATAAATTTATATTTTATTGATATTTATATCAATTGTCATTATTTTTATTTAAATTATTGAGACATTTTTATCTATATTTAAAATTAAAATTTATTTATTGTCCTTTCAAAAATATTACAATTTAAAATTGGGATGATAATAATATTATGTAGATACATTACTAAAAATAAATCGTGGTCATAATACTGGAATTAAATCAACTTTTTTTTAATTCATTTTAATTATCAAACCTGTTTTTTATATAGATAGAATTGTTCCCTATATAATTAATAATAATTATATGATAATTAAAACAATTATTTCATAATAATTAACCATTTTTTAATAAACCATTTTATTAAAGACGAAAAACCGCCCTTTTTAATTTTTTACTTTCGAGATACAAATCTGAAATGTAGTCATTTTTGTACTCCTTTTTTGAGCTACGACTTTTTATAAAAATTTTGATGATTGTAATTTAATTTTACTGAAGTGTGTTTTCATTATTTATTGTAAAAATATATGTAGGTATTTTCTACATTTCAACAATTGTTAATTAATGAACAATGGACTAATGCGAATTCGTTATACTGAATTTTATAATTTTTGCGATTTTCAGATGGCTCCTGCGCCAGCCCTACTAATTTATGAATATGAAGTTAGCAAAGCATCCATTCCCAATCAAGAAGCGATTACGTGCATAATTTGCCGTTAATTTGTCGTTAATTAGTTGTGAAAAAATTAATTTTGTCGTTTGATTATTTCTTTGTTTTTATGGGTGCTTTGCTAACTTCATATAAAGTTAGCAAGGCACCCCCTTAAATATGTGATTAAATTTTTTTTTAATAGTAAATATTTTGCCGTTAATTTGTCGCTAATTAGTTGTGAACAAAATAATTTTGTCGTTCGAATATTTCTTTGTTTTTATGGGTGCTTTGCCAACTTCATATAAAGTTAGCAAGGCACCCCCATCAAATATGTGATATATATATTTTTTTAATACTTAATATTTTGCCGTTAATTTGTCGCAAATTAATTGTAAATAAATTAATTTTGTCGTTTGATTATTTTTTGGGCTGCTTTGCTAACTTTATATGAAGTTAGCAAGGCACCTCCCTTAAATATGTGATACATTTTTTTTTAATAGTTATTATTTTGCCGTTCATTTGTCGTTAATTAGTTGTGAAAAAATTAATTTTGTCGTTCGAATATTTCATTGTTTTTATGGGTGCTTTGCTAACTTCATTTGAAGTTAGCAAGGCACCCCCCTTAAATATGTGATTAAATTTTTTTAACAGTTAATATTTTTACGTTAAATTGTCGCTAATTAGTTGTGAATAAATTAATTTTGTGGTTGGAATATTTCTTTGTTTTTATGGGTGCTTTGCTAGTTAGCAAGGCACCTTCATTAAAAATGTTATTTTTTTAATAGTTACTATTTTGCCGTTAATTGTTGTTTTTTTTTGGCTGCACCCGCTCCACTTATTACATGAATAATTTTTTAATAGTAATTAAGTATGTTTATTTAAAAGGAACCAAGTGACCTTATTTATTTTTTAGAAAAGGTTATTTCACTTTTATTATTTAACATAATAGAATATTGATATTTCGTTGTTTGGGTATTCTCTCAACAGAATTGAAATTGACCCTTTTTAAATATTTATGAATAATAATTATTATTCATAAATATTTAAAAAGGGTCAATTTCAATTCTGTTGAGAGAATACCCAAACAACGAAATATCAATATTCTATTATGTTAAATAATAAAAGTGAAATAACCTTTTCTAAAAAATAAATAAGGTCACTTGGTTCCTTTTAAATAAACATACTTAATTACTATTAAAAAATTATTCATGTAATAAGTGGAGCGGGTGCAGCCAAAAAAAAACAACAATTAACGGCAAAATAGTAACTATTAAAAAAATAACATTTTTAATGAAGGTGCCTTGCTAACTAGCAAAGCACCCATAAAAACAAAGAAATATTCCAACCACAAAATTAATTTATTCACAACTAATTAGCGACAATTTAACGTAAAAATATTATAATTCAGGTATAAAGGGCTTTATATAAAATTTTTGTAATTATTATTATTTATTTCATTTTGATTATTTAACATAAAATTTCGTTGTTTGGGTATTCTCTCAAAAGACTTAACTATTGTTTTTAATTGAAATTAACACTTTTAATATTTATGGATAATAATTCAAGTACAAAGGGCTTTATTTAAAATGTTTGTAATTGGCGCTTGGTTCCTTTTAAACAAACATGGTCCAGTTATTGTTTTGCCGTTAATTTGTCGTTAATTAGTTGTAAAAAAATTAATTTTGTGGTTCGAAAATTTAAAAATGACACTTATCACCTTTTGATTTTCTACGAAATTACCTTCATATATAAAATAAACAATTAATTATCCACAAGTAAACCAAAATTAATTGTAAACATTGATTATAAACATTTTAATTATATATTTAAAGGGACTGCCCTGCTAATTTTATACAAAGTTAGCAAAGCATCAAAAAAACAAAGTAAGAATCAAACGACAAATTTTTTCACATCTAATTAGCCACAAATTAACTATAAAATAAATATTTAAAAAAATCATAAATTTAAGGGGGTATGAATATGAAGTTGAGCATCCATCCTCAATCAAGAAGAGATTTGGTGCATAATTTGCCGTTAATTTGTCGTTAATCAGTTGTGATAAAATTAATTTTGTCGTTCGAATATTTCATTGTTTTTATGAGTGCTTTGCTAACTTCATATGAAGTTAGCAAGGCACCCCCCCTTGAATTTTTGATTAAAATTTTTTTAATAGTTAATATTTTTACGTTAATTTGTCGCTAATTAGTTGTGAATAAATTCATTTTTCGTTTGATTATATTTTGTTTTTTTCGGCTGCTATATATTAAATATTAAGTATTAAAAAAAATATATGTCACATATTTGATGGGGGTGCCTTGCTAACTTTATATGAAGTTGGCAAAGCACCCATAAAACAAAGAAATATTCCAACTACAAAATTAATTTATTCACAACTAATTAGCGACAAATTAACGGCATAATATTAACTATTAAAAAAAAATTAATCACATATTTAAGGGGGGTGCCTTGCTAACTTCATATAAAGTTAGCAAAGCAGCCGAAAAAACAAAAAAATAATCAAACGACAAAATTAATTTATTCACAATTAAATAGCGACAAATTAACGGCAAAATATTAAGCATTAAAAAAAAATATATATCACATATTTGATGGGGGTGCCTTGCTAACTTTATATGAAGTTTGCAAAGCACCCATAAAAACAAAGAAATATTCGAACGACAAAATTAATTTATTCACAACTAATTAGCGACAAATTAACGGCAAAATATTTACTATTAAAAAAAAATTTAATCACATATTTAAGGGGGTGCCTTGCTAACTTTATATGAAGTTGGCAAAGCACCCATAAAACAAAGAAATATTCGAACGACAAAATTAATTTATTCACAACTAATTAGCGACAAATTAACGTAAAAATATTAACTATTAAAAAAAAATTAATCACATATTTAAGGGGGGTGCCTTGCTAACTTCATATAAAGTTAGCAAAGCAGCCAAAAAACAAAAAAATAATCAAACGACAAAATTAATTTATTCACAATTAATTAGCGACAAATTAACGGCAAAATATTAAGTATTAAAAAAAATATATATCACATATTTGATGGGGGTGCCTTGCTAACTTTATATGAAGTTGGCAAAGCACCCATTAAAACAAAGAAATATTCGAACGTTAAATTAATTTATTCACAACTAATTAGCGACAAATAAACGGCAAAATATTTACTATTAAAAAAAAATTTAATCACATATTTAAGGGGGTGCCTTGCTAACTTTATATGAAGTTAGCAAAGCACCCATAAAAACAAAGAAATATTCGAACGACAAAATTAATTTTTTCACAACTAATTAACGACAAATTAACGGCAAATTATGCACCTAATCGGTTCTTGATTGGCGATGAATGCTTTGCTTTGTTCATTACTAATTTTGGAGGGCTGATTTTTTTTAAGAATTAAATAATTTTATAATAGAATACGTAAACGATGTTTTAAATTTTTTTTTTTTAAATTAGCTCAATTTGCAATCATTAGGTAGAGGAAACAATTAAATTTTCAGAAAGTGTAGTACCAACCTTTATCTTTTTTTAGCCACTTAGTCTTGTTCTGTTATTTTCCCCCTTTAAAAAAAGACATGTTTATTTAAATGCTTGTTTTGGAAGAAAAAACTTAAAAATAAAAGAAAGAGTTGCTATAAACATGACCGAAAATGCCTCGTGGGGGCGCTATAGGTATTTTAAACTGTTTCCTTAAACCATGTTTTTATTAATTATTTCAGAACGGTTATTTTTAAAATAATAATACTTTACTTCTGGGGTAATATTTGTGCAAGAAAAGATCTGGTTGTTTCAAATCGGATAAATAATGACCATAGGCGTGGGAAACAGCAGCTACTCGGGAAAAAAATCTTCATAATTTTTTGAACTATTGAAGATTGTACCAAGAAGCATTCCCGGGTATACCACCATGTTTACATTAAGACTGTGTGAAACTGGCACTTTTAAAGTAAACAAATGTGATTGAGGAAGAAATAGAAAAACTCGAACAGGGAAAACAAAGAAACAGTGGCGTAACTACAATGGTGCCAATGGTGCGGTGGCACCAAGGCCCGCGCCATTGGGGGCCCGGTCTCTCGGATAGCGTAAAAAAAGCTTTAAATAATTTGTGGTAATTTTAAAAACATGCAGAAACGAGCTGTTGGATTAAATAATAAAAACCTGATTTTGTCAAAACAATTTAA